AACAAGAACTGGATTGTTTTATGTTTGCATTTATATAATGTTTTCATTTTAAAACATGGTCAAGATGTTTTGCCAATGTTCGTAGTTGATATTATTGAGTGTTGTATTTTTTGTTCGTATTTATTAATAAGGCTTCTGTTTTGTAAGTTACGAATAGGGCACGGTAGGTCTCCATGAATATTTAAATAAGACCTAATTGAGCTATGATAAGAAAGGTGGAGTGTAATTCTTCTTGTCAAATATGTTGTAGTATGACCTATATAATTATATACGAAATTTGATTGATCAGGAATACAATTCCTTAATGGACATTTAAATTTGTAAGTAATATTTGTCCTATTTAATTTTGCTCTAAGAGGTGAATTATTATTTTTGAACTATAAGTTTAGAGATTTTAGATTTATTCAAATAAATATTTAATATTTAATCTTTTAATGTTTGATGCTACTGTATATATATATATATATATATATATATATATATATATATATATATATATATATATATATATATATCAGCTCATTCCGAGTAGATCATTGCTAGCTTTGGTGTGAGACAGTACACTCAGGATTATTTCCTCGACTCACGGACACAAATTCACTGGCATAGACACATGCACACATACATACATACAATTACGTACGCGTCTGGATCACCAAGATCCGTAACGTGAGTTACAACTGCGATTTTTATCTGAAGTTTTAACTGTATGCTTTTCAATATATGTGATTAATGTTAAATAAGTAAATTGTCAACGAAAGAGATTATGTTGTGAAATAAATATTGCTTGCGTATCATGAATGTTTTTTTTTTTCTCATAATTAGTTATGCACGGCTTAATATGCCTGTGTACATTCATTTCAACAATTGCTTTGTTTACTCAAATATTTGTTCAATCTCTATTTATTTACTTATGATAAAAGCCACCCTGTTCAGGTTTGCTTTGCTTGAGATATTTCATTGTAATAATCTTAACTCATTTTAAGTCAATTATTCATATATTTATTTTAAATAGGATTTTATTTCCACAATAGTTGAAGTTGGATTCATTGAAATTAAGCATAGCAATTATTTACTGGCTAATTACAAAAAAAGAATTGCTTCAGTAATATAATTACATTTGACTACATCTTATATATAAAATACAGTGTATATGTGTCTGTTCGTGCGTGGGTGTGTCCTAGCAACTCCCCCACACGCACTGTTCTGATTTCAATGTTTCGTAGCTAATTCAAAAGCCCTAGAAACGTTACGCTCAAGGAACGATTTTTATTGAGCTCAGATTCAGGCTTGCCAGATTATGAGAGGTTAAATATATATATATTAATATATTAACGAGGCATTACCCTGACTTTCATGGTTATTGGGGAGTGATACTTTTCTCCTTTTGTATCCAAAATTGCAGCTAGCTTAAAATTTAATCTAGCTAGAATAACTAGGGATGAGGAGATGTGATAGGCATTAATAAACTTCAGAAGAACTGAAAATTGATCGCTGTATTTAAGTATTGAATTAATGTTTAAGCTTACCTTTTAAAAGTTCAACGAAACTTCTCCTGCTGCCACTTAATTTAAAGACGATTTGATGTACGAAAATTCTTACTTTCCGTAAAAACAATTATTTTTATTTCATGTGTGACAGGGGAAAATTTATAAGATCAAATTAATATAGTGTAAAGATGGGAAAATAGAAATTACAATTCGTTATACATTCATTATTTGAAGAGTTAGAGAAACATAATAGCTAATTATGTAAAACGTATATTATGGAAACCTTATGAATAAATGCGAAATTGAGCTCTTTCCTCCCAAGAATTTTGAGATTAGAAAGCCACAAGCTCTAATTTATCGTAATTTGGTATTCATTTGACCCCACGAAGTCAGATAATGACACAAGGTTGGTTTAATGAGGGGAGTCCGAGCCCATACATTAGGGCTAGGAACAAAAATTGCCCGAGTCCACGCAATCGTCGGTCGCGCTGGCGTCAGTGCGAGCACCGCGATGCCTCTCTCTGGTCCACTGAGAAGGCGCGGCCTCTGACAGCTGTTCCCCAGGGCTGCGCGCCTCTCAGTATAATTTTCCTCAGTTGCGATTCTGTCTTTTGGCGGAGCCGCCCCTGAACGCACTCTGCCTAAACTGCAACTGAGAATTGATAAATAAACGTGTTACAAACTACTCGAGAGCAATTTTTGTTTACTCAACCCCCATGAGGTCAGTTTATGACACAAGATCGGTTTAATGTGGGGAACCCGAGCGCGTACACCCGGGCTAGAAACAAAAAATTCTTCGAGCCCCCACAACCGTTGTTTACACTGGCCTCGGTACGTGCACTGATCCCTCTCTCTCTCTCTAGTGCAACCGTCGGTTGCGCTGGCCTTCTTAAGTCACGACGTCAAAAAGACAGCTCACAACTCGATAACTTTTCGGAGAATCATCGCAGAGTAATGGATGGAAGTTTTCTGGAGCTCTACGGGCTTACTCTCAATTACAATTTCTTCTTAAGCGATTTTTTTTCAGTTTTAACTCTTCTAGATATCATTTAAATCAGTGGGGTCTACGAATATGTTATTATTACTTTTGTGTGTCTGGTGGAGGGTACACACATTTCCTTCCTGATTCCGACCGTAGATCTAAGGTCAAAAATGGTTTCATGTCATTTTCCACTAATTATTTTTATAAAAAAAAAAAAAAGAACAAAAACTAAGATCCCAAACATATTTTACATAGATAAAGCTCTTTGTATTATGTGAGCTGTAATTTTAACATAAGTCAAATGTTTGGTATTTATTTAAGTCATGCGCTACCAGGAATCCATTTAATGAGTCTATCGGAACTTTTTCAATCAATTTGAGACCTCCAACTACAACTGGAATTATTGATGTCCTTATGTGCCACATTTCTGAGATTTTCTTCAAGATTCTTGTATTTTGATAGGTTTTCTTTCACTTGTAAATATTTATTATCTAGTCAAAAGGTGATCATAATAATATTATTTTATATTATTATTATTACTACTACTACTACTACTAATATTATTATTTCTTTTATAGAAATATATATTTCAAAGCTCGTCCCCAAGGTAGGATCCCGTAGGAGCTACTCTCCCATATAGAAAATTATTACCCCCACCCACTGACCCACTCAAAGCACTCTGTCAAAGACACTGTATATTTCTTATTTGTTTAAAGTTATTTCAGCCAAAAAGATTGAGAGATAAAATATCTACATGCATTTTAATAATACAAGAAACTAGTTTGCGGAATAGCAAATCATTTTAGGTCGACCTTACATTTTCCCGCCGTCAATATAAATATAATATCCAATGAAAAATGTTTTTTTCTAAAAATAGTTTTCTAACGTTTTGCCGATGACTAACACTAAAATATTGCACTTGCCTATAACACGAAACGAATTGTTTGAATATGACATCGTATATAAGACCGAGTTTGGTTCTAAGGATAAGATTTCGAAAGAAATGAAAATCCCATGAACAGAGCGATTAAGTGTCGAGTACGTTTTGAAGAAAATGCTAACAGGAAGAACACTTATAATTCTATAGAAGTGGTTGAATTAAACGTTGACAAGCAAAAGGGGAATTATAATACTACAAATTTCGTATCTTTTTTCAGGAAGAACAATTCAAATCTTGTGTTTGACTTTCATATCATTAATTAAATATATTTCCTGAAGAAATAAATATATCATAGCTCTCCACAAGTTATTAAGCTAAAAGTATGGCTCCCCCAGTGAGGACCAATGTCACTATTCAGCCGTAATTGATCTAGCGAACCATTAGACCACGTCAAATTGCCCGAAACGGCTCACTACATGGTTAGAACACTCAGTGAGGATCGAACTCTCTACTCAGCTGCAGTTGCTCTAGAACGGCAAGCTTGTTAATCATTACACCACGTCGAAATGCCAAAAATGACTTTCTACGAATAGCATAGATTTAGCACAATGCCGAAAGTGTGGCGATCCCATTTAGAATAAAACTCACTACTCAGGCGTAATTGCTCTAGTGACTTATGCTTACAACCATTAAAGTAAGCCGAAGTGCCTTAAATTATTATAAGTGTAGCATATATATGGTATAAGGCTGAAAATATGTAGCAGACCATGCTAGTTTATTTTCTAAGTGTAGCATATATGTGGTATAAGGCCGAAAGTGTGGCGCGCCCCATGAGGATCGAACTCGCTAATCAGTCGTAGTTAATCCAGCGAGAAAAAAATTGCTAATTTTTACACTGCGTCGAAGTGACTTTCCTTCGTCATTATGCGTCCATAAATTTCAGCTATCTCTTTTTGACTCTAAGCATAAGCATCCTTTTAGTTACCAATTTTTAAAACTTTCTTGAATAATTGACATATTGAGAAGATGTCAGAGAGGATTATTTTAAAGTGTTTTTTAATCTTTTAAAATAAGAGCCAGTATTTTGATTTGATGCTGCAAAATAAACCAATTTCTTAGTGAGCTTATAACACAGCTGAAACTGTTTTCCTCACACGATATACTTGTTAGGAGACATTTCGAAATGTTGCAAATGTTAGCTAGATCAATTACGACGAACTAGTGAGTTCGATCCTCATTAGGTGCTCCATATTTTCAGTCTTGTGCCACATCTAAGTTAAGTTTAGAAAGTCAGTTTTGGGCACCTTGGTGTAATGTAATGGTTAGCAAGCTTGGTTGATTTGCTTTTATTTTATTTTATTTTTTTAGCGGCATATCAACATCTGTATGTGTTATTCAATGACAAAATCAAAATAGTTTTGTACACAATTTGATTATTGGAGATAATAACGGTTTAATGACACAATTTTTTGATTTTTGATGATAATAATAGTTTAATTATACAAGTCTTAATAATTAACCCATAGCTGGGGGGAAGAGGTATATTCATACCTTTTCAAAGAGATTTGCAGATAAGTGGATATAATGAACCCGACTGGGACTGAAACTCGGCTCTCCGATTTACAATTACACCACCCGCACATCCAAGCTTACAGTACCTCGTATTCCCAAGCGATCACCCATCTAGATACTGACCAGGCTCGACGTTGTTTAACTTCGGTGATCATACGAGAACAGATGTTTCAAATTGATGTGGCCGTAAGCCTTCTGGAGAGCAAGCTTGTCTCGCTAGAATAATTACCACTGATTAGTGAGTTCAATCCCCACAGGGTGCCCGATACTTTTGGCCTTGTGCCACATCTAAACTTCGCTTAGAAAATCACCATAATAAATTACTTAGCAATGAATCTCATAACCTGGTCAGCATCGGATAAAATTGCTCGTAAAACCCTAAATGTTTTATGCTAAAATAAATCCCTAGGCGTTTTTCTTTCTCTCGAACGTATGGCGTAGACGTTATTAAAAGCATGATGTAATATTTAAAAGATCATCACGCAATGCAAGCGAATATTCTTTTTCAGGTACCAAGTCGTCCAGCAGAAAGCTTTTTATTTTAAAATCAATTACCAGACAAATGATTATTTTATACGCATCCAGATTAAAGAACTATGATACTCCCAATAATAAGCATAGAGTAAATTGAATTGATCCAAATGAATTATTCAGTCGGCCATTTCATGAAGAGGCTTTAATAAATTATGTATTTTCACGTCTGTTCGGTCGTGTGTTTTTTAACGAAATTCTGCGGTAAGTTCTATTGCAAAAAGAAAAAGAAAAGCAAATCATATTAGGTCGACCTTATATTTTCCCATCGTCAATATAAATATAATATCCAATGATAAAATTATTTCTAAAAATAGTTTTCTAACGTTTTGCCGATGACTAACACTAAAATATTGCACTTGCCTATAACACGAAACGAATTGTTTGAATATGACATCGTATATAAGACCGAGTTTTGTTCTAAGGATAAGATTTCGAAAGAATGAAAATCCCATGAACAGAGCAATTAAGTGTCGAGGACGCTTTGAAGAAAATGTTCACAGAAAGAACATATAATTATATACTACTTATACTAACCGAGTGGTTAGAACATTCGCATTCTGACCATGAGACCCGGGTTCGAATCTCACCATGGTCGATTTATCAGTTAGGAGACTTCCTGATGTTATCGGATTGGAGAGGCCTATCCCAGCGTGCAGCACCTTTGGAAAGTGCCTGAAAACGACGGATTGTCCCAACCCTTGTGATTAAAATTGGGTAGACGGAACACTTGAGGGGGCGTCGATACCTGTACTAGAACAAAGTCACAATTCATCATGACCGAGAGTGCTGGCCTTGTTGACAACTGTTGATAACGATAGATAACCCGCTCTTTCCCATAAACTGTAACTAAGGTCTGCTCAGCATAGATGCAGTATAAACCACAGTTGGCCTATGTGGGTGTTAAATAAACACAAATGCGCCTGAGCAAACGTCTACAATAGGGATTAGCAAGCCGCCCTAATAGACGGGTCTCCTCGAATACGAGTGGCCAGCTATACTTATACTTATAACTAGCAAAAACTACGACATTTATAACTTGTAAAAGGCAGCTGATATTCATTGGACACATAACGAGGAAGGAAGGATTGGAAAAACAACACTCACGGGGCATATTGCGAGCAAAATATATGAGAGGTAGCGAACCATTTACCTGACCTGCTTGTGTGAAAGGTTTTCGGTAAAAGTGAGCAGGGCATTAGCAAAAGGAAAAAAAGAGCCACACAAGAATAGAAAGTTGTAAAGGGATACGACCTGGTGAATTTCTAATCTACCCAATTGAAACAAAGGGCCAGGGCAGTAGTTCTCAACAACCGCGACGTGGCAGCACACCACGATGTGGTGCCACGCGATATTCTTAATTGTGACACCAAATATTGTCACAGCAGACGGCAGACACACACGCACACACACACACATATATATATATATATATATATATATATATATATATATATATATATATATATATATATATATATATATATATATATATATATATATATATATATATATATATAATTATTATTAATTAAAGAATATCAAACATTTAAATATAATTATTATTAATAAAGAATATCAAACACTTGATATTCTTTAATTGATGATAATATTGATCTGTCTTCAGGATCTATATCCTCCTGGAAATTCCATACGGATTACCAGATTGTATTATTACTATATATATATATATATATATATATATATATATATATATATATATTTGTTCGGAAGTAAAGTCTGATGATCCGCAGTCCTTTTAAAAGGGCTGTGGTGAAATAATTTATTACATGGAACCTTAAAGTGGTCTGTTTTTATTTAAATTATTTGCTCTGGATTTACATTGAGCTCTCTGGATTTTATCTTGCTTAGGTTTACCCATACGGATTGCCTAGTTTTTTATTTTTATAAATCTATATCTATCTATCTATCTATCTATCTATATATATATATATATATATATATATATATATATATATATATATATATATATATATATATATATATATATATATATATATATATATATAAAAACTATATATATATATATATATGTGTGTGTGTGTGTGTGTCTGTAGTAATAGTACGGCGTTAGTATTCGAATAAATAAATATTAAACGTTTAATCCTAGATTAGCGAAAAAAGGCCTTACAAGTTTTATTGCAATTTTCTATTCTTAATCATGTGAATTAGGTTTCTTAGATTTCCTAAATAACAACAAAAATAAGAAGCGAAAAAGAAGAACTAAAGAACAAATGAGTCTGCTTATCGCACATTCGAACCAAACATTGAAGAAATCACGGAAAAATAACAGGCCCAGTTTTCACACTAAATTAGCTACATAATATACTTGAATAGAAACATTGAAATAAATTAAGTTCTTATTTGTATGTATATTTAAAAAAAAATCTATAGTTGTATTTCATAACATTTAAATGTATGCCTTTTAAAAATGTTGCTAAATGTGCCATGATATTTTCATTTGTTTCTAGGTTTGCTGTTGCTTAAAAAGGTTGAGAAACAGCAAAAATACTGAATTCAAACTCAGTATGAAGAGAAATGTGCTCCTTTAGGATACTCTGTCCTAGACGTATTAGTGTTAGAACGATTGCAGCATGTGTTTTGCCCCTACGACCCTAAAGGTATACTGTGATCATAATGTGACATTCAGTAGATTTTAATTTAATATTTTCACAACATTTATATATAGCAACACGCCGATGTTAGTAATAATTACCAGCTTATATGTTTATGTAATAAATATTCGGCAAAGAGAAAAATGATGTCAAAAGGTCATTTTTTTCTTGACACAGCTATTACCTCATACTACCATAATAATTTTATTGTTTATAAAGGGTATTTTTACAATTTTAATATATTTTCAAAAAATATATCTATACAGAGTGACTGAAAAGTTATTCCGTTTTATGTTGATTAATTAAAAAAACATAAAACAAGGATATTTGTACATTCTCTTTTTTCTCGAGAATTGACAACAACACTATTAAACGAATAAACGAAGGAATAAACAGAAGAAATGAATAATGTTTATTTTTTATTTTATTTTAATTTTGTCATTCTCGAGGAAAAAAAGGTAATATTAACTATTTGATTGATGCATAATTATCAGGTGTTTTTGTAGGCGAGTTATTTTTTTAATAAAATTGCTTTATTGTTTACTTTTAAAAAAAAAAAAAAAATTATTTTCAGGTTATAAAAATGCGTGTCGATAATCACACGCTCTGGAATAATCATTCTAAAAAGTTATTGCTGAATTGTTATGTTTCTTTTTGAATAATAAATATTGTTTGAAAAATGCCTGATAATTATGCACCAAGTCAATATAATCTCATAAAATAAACAATGTTTACTACTTTTGTTACCAATTCTCAAGGAAAAGGTTAATCGATGTAACTTTGGCTTGATATCTACAAGGTAAAATTATGTACATCGTACAAATCTTATTTTGGAATGATATCTACATAATAAAACATATTATAACATATATATAACAAATAAAATGCTATTAAAATTTTTATTTCTTATTTCAATTCTAGCGATAAACAGTATGTACATCGGCTAAAATGTCTACACCGTACAAGTTTTAACTTGAAATAATATCTACGTAGTGAAAGATGGTTCTACTTTGGCTTGTTCTCTACAAGGAAAAGAAGCCTAAGTAACATCTGTTTTACTATGTAGATATAATTCCAAAATAAAATTTGTACGGTGTAGATATGTTTTCCTTAAAGATAACAGGCTGAAGTTGCACCAATCTACTTTCAGGTCTTTGGATTTCACTTAGAATTCTAAGAATAATTCTTAAAGCAATAAAAATTGCTGACGGAGTAAATGGTAATATCGGTGTAAAAAGAAAAGCCGTTTTTTACTATTTTTTGTGGCTACGTATGTTAAACATTGACAAATATTTTATATGAGGTTCAGCATCTGTTTCTATTTTTATTAGAAATATTAAGGTTAACGTAAGGCACAGTGGAGTAATGAAATAGCGGCTCAAATTGAGGAATCGGAGAGCCGAGTTCGATTTCCAGTCGATTCCATTGTATTCACTTACGTGCTAATACCCTTGAGAAATCATTTTCTTCTCCCCGCAGCTATGGGTAAATAGCAGGGAAGACCAGGTTCTATATCCTTGGATGGAAACTGGTCTGCTGCAGAAAGAAATGGCAATTAAAAAAAAATTGCCTCGTCAGTCATGTATATAGATAAATCGCATTAGATAATAATGCTAATCAGTAATTTTTTTCGAAATTTATGTTATACATAAATATAGATAATAATGTAGTCGTGGTAATTTTTTTTTAAATTTAAGAAGCATAAAAGATTGTTATCTTTTGTACGAAGACATAGCCTAAAAATTTTTCAATGCCAGGAAGTGATGGAAAAACCACCCTACAAAAGATTTAAATAAATTTCAAATAATAAAAAAAAAAAAATGTCAAAAGATTGGCATGCTGAAGTAAAAAAATAAATGTCGCTTTAAGAACGTTATAAAACAGATATGACAAAAATTAAAAGGCAAGATATATATATATATATATATATATATATATATATATATATATATATATATATATATTAATCAGACCACATTTCATACATATTACCTTTTCATTTTTCTCACATCTGTTTTTATAA